ATATTTATAATCTGATTAGTATATGGTCTTGGTTATCTCCTGGAGTTAACTTTACTAATATGTTATATTTATAATCTGATTAGTATATGGTCTTGGTTATCTCCTGGAGTTAACTTTACTAATATGTTATATTTATAATCTGTTTAGTATATGGTTTTGGTTATCTCCTGGAGTTAACTTTACTAATATGTTATATTTATAATCTGTTTAGTATATAGTTTTGATTATCTCCTGGAGTTAACTTTACTAATATGTTATATTTATAATCTGTTTAGTATATGGTTTTGGTTATCTCCTGGAGTTAACTTTACTAATATGTTATATTTATAATCTGTTTAGTATATGGTTTTGGTTATTCTCCTGGAGTTTATAGGTGAGAATGCTAATGTTTCATCAAGTTTTGTCTATCCTATGTTTGACCGTTGTTATTCCTGACACTGTTATATTTAAGATATTGTTGGTTTATCCAGAATGCCATTGGAAGTGACTTTAGAGTGATTTTAGTTTTCTCAGCTACATCTACTCGTTTCCATCTGAAATCTTTGCTCCGAACTAAACCTGGGTTTGACTCTCTTCCTGACCTTAAACAACATAATTTTTTTATTGTTTGCAGTTTAAAGTTACTGGATAACTCCGGTTATCTTACGTTTGTTGTCATGGCAAACTTACCATACATTGAACTTGACTATTCTAGAATTTTCATTGTTTATCGGTTTCTCGAAAGAACAAATCTTCACAGCTCTTACATGGCATTCTTTTAATGTATATTTTAATTAATACAAGCAATAAAAAAAATTAAATGTAAAATGATGTAGGGAGGGCAGTGCCTAAAAGAATACAAACAAGAATATAGGGTGATATAGCTATACATAGATCATCCTTGCATGACTTTCAATATTACAATTTAATGTTACACTGAAAAATGCACGAGTATAAAATGGTTACGAGGTCGGTCAAATCGACTTGGCTTTCTTTGTACGTAAGTCCTAGTCTCTTAGTTACACTACATTGATGTCTACCGTGACATGACCATGATATTATGATAAACAAACTACATACCAACTGCAGTAATATTAAAGTCAAGTATACATTGGATAACTGGATCAAATAAATTTTAAATTTCCAGCTACATCCTGAGGAAAATGAGTAGAAAAAATTAGAATTGAATCAAGTTTTTAGTAAAAGCTAGAAATAATGAAGTCAAATACTAACAATTATGTTTTTGAATCTAACACTCATTTTACAGTGTTTTCACAGGCCATTTTACAGAGTACAACAAATTATCGTCACTTCTACGAACAATGAATTCTTTAATGCAACAGTTGACCAGGAAGAGCATACTTGGGGTCCGGTATTTCGTGAAGATTTCCTATTAGAAGTAAGAAACAATATATTTTCTTTATTTGTGGTTACAGCACTTGGAATATTGTTATTGTTTAACTTTACAAAGTTTGTTAGTTTTCCTTTTCATTCTGAACAGTAAGAAATCTTATTGTTGTCATACCTTAACAAAAAACATTTTAAGGCTTATTAAATTTTATTATAAAAATAACTTTTATTTGTTTATAATTTTGACTACAGTAGTTTTCTCTCTACAAATGCCAAATTTATCAAACCTAGTATACGAAGTTGACTTACACTAAGTATAGTTTAAAAATAAACTTTGACAAACTTTATTTTAAAGTGTTTTTTTTTCCCATGTTTTCTTGAAAGATGCCTTTGCAGCTTCATTTTCTTTTTATGATGCAGATTGGTAATATTGCAAATTTATTTTCTGAGTGTTAAATAATACAATGTTTGGGAAAAAGAGTTACTTTTATTATCTTTAAAATATATAAATATTTCTTGTTTGTTTTTAAGCAAAAAGATACAAAATGGGTTGTTTCCATTGTGCCCTTGCAGGTACTGAACCCTAGTTTTTAGCATTATAAACCCACAACTTTACTGCTGAGCCACCAAATGAAAAAAAAATACACATTTCTCTTTCCCTTATGAATTGGAGTAATTTATATATTATATTATATATATTATAATTTATATATATTATATTATATATATTATAATTTATATATTATATTATATATATATATTATAGGTGTTGGACCTTCAGAAATCAGTAGAAGAGCTGGTTGCTTTCCAAAATGGTTCAAATATCACTCTGTCAGACATATGTGTAGCTCCTCTCTCGCCACTAAACAATGCTTGTGTGGTCCAGAGTGTCTTCAGCTTCAACTATACTTATTTTACAAGTACAACAGGATCACTTCCACAGAATTATTTGTCTCACTTATTAAAGTGTATCAGGTGAAAATATTTGTTTTAATATTTTATACTAGCACTGCATGGTGAGATTTTATGGTCCCTTCTTTTCAAGATAGTCTTTCTTCTGTAGTCACTCAGTAGAGAGCAATGAGAAATTTATGTCAGATGATGAGCAGTGTGTTTATTTTGAGTTTTGATTTGAAAGCTATTGAAGGACAAGCAATAATATTTTGAGTAAAACACATCAGATATTTTTTAAATTCTTTGTTTTATTTTTTGGAAGATAGGATATTAAATATCTGATAAAAACAGAAAACTTCATAATTTTGTTATAGAAAATTTGAACCTGTGAATAACTTGTAATCACTGTTTCATATCAGTTTTTCAATATCAGGAAATAATCACTTTAGTTAAAAAATAAAAGCATTGTTTTCAAAATGCAAGTGTGATATAGATCTCGGGAATATAAGTTTACTTCTAAAACAAGTAATTAAGACTTCCCAGTTGACACATTAAAACTGGCTAAGATAGATCAATATTTCAAACATCATTGATTTTATAACTCGTGCAGCTATTAAAAGAAATTGTTCCCTTCCAAAATTTTGTCAAGGATTTAAACTAAACTCTTTGAACTTGCCAACATAAACTATGTTAACTTCCCTGTGTTTTGTCAAGAACTTAAATTAAACTCTGTTAACTTCCCTGTGTTTTGTCAAGAACTTTAACTAAACTCTGTTAACTTCCCTGTGTTTTGTCAAGTACTTAAACTAAACTCTGTTAACTTCCCTGTGTTTTGTCAAGAACTTTGACTAAACTCTGTTAACTTCCCTGTGTTTTGTCAAGAACTTAAACTAAACTCTGTTAACTTCCCTGTGTTTTGTCAAGAACTTTAACTAAACTCTGTTCACTTCCCTGTGTTTTGTCAAGAACTTTAACTAAACTCTGTTAACTTCCCTGTGTTTTGTTAAGGACTTAAACTAAACTCTGTTAACTTCCCTGTGTTTTGTCAAAAGTTGTTATAAATGGGACTAAGTGATGATATTTCTATATTTATCTTCTCTATTCTTGAAGAAATCCCATCCAGTATGCCTGTTTTGCTCCTTACAATGGACCACTGATACCAGCTGCTGTTGTTTTTGGTGGTTTTCACAATGATAGTTTCCAAACTTCCACAGCTCTTGTTCTCACTTTTCCTGTAAATAATTACTACGATGCTAGTCAGAATAAAGCTGCTTTGGCCTGGGAGAAAGTGTAAGTGATGTGAGAAAAAATACTTTTAGAGTTTCTATTTAGTGTAAGTGATGTGAGAAAAAGTACTTTTAAAGTTTCTATTTAGTGTAAGTG